GATTTTACCGATAGTGCAACTTCTGTACTTTGACAATGTATAACTCACAAACTGTAAGTCAGAATAAACTCGTATTTTGCAGTTAGAAAGCCCTTACTATATACTACAACTTTCATGAAAGGTCRAAAAKYCAGTTATGACTCTAAGTGGTTCGAAACAATGTGTGTTCCAGGGCTGTTTCCACCGTATTCAGGATTAATATGTTGTTTTGTAAAATTCGTATAAAATATATGGATAATCAAAATGATGTGGGTGGATTCATATATCAAATGTAATATTGATTCTTATTAATTTAATATATAAATGTGATCAACGACTCATTTAACTAACTTCAATAATTTTAAAAAAAAATTATCGTCATCGGGCAACGCACGATATCAAATACTAGTTTATTATAAAACCGTTGTATATGACATACGGTTATTGATATTATAAATTTTAAATTCTTATTAAATATTTTATTAAAATTGATTAAATGCCCAAATTATTTGGTGTTTTTTCTCTAGAGCAATCCACACATGTAAAAGATAGGTTCAGTTGACAGGATGAATTTTTAAAAAGATATTATAAATCTTATTTTTTATTTAAAAATATGACCCATAAATCTTTATTTATCTTCATTAATTATAAATTTTAGAGTAAACTATAAAATTGGTCCATATGATTGTCAAAAATAATACTTTTAATCCTTATACTTTTGAAATTACAAGATAGGTAACATAGTCTGTAAAATGTCTTATTTTTGTCCCTTTCTCTAATGGTTGTTAAGAATTTTTGTAAACGAAGGGCATTTCGTTCTTTTATCGTTTTTTTGTCTTTTATTCAATAAAAATCCACATGGACCGAAACCATAAAATGAGTTTCAGCCGAATTTCACCATTTCAATGGATTTTTGAGTCTTTTAGCTGATTTCACGGGATTTTTAAGTTTTTTTTTGTTGATTTAGAAGGACTTTTGCGGATTTTGGTTGATGTTCCTTGTAATTTTCAATATCCGGAGCACCCCTTAAAATTTAAGAGGTACACCTTCTTCCAAGAACAATTCTAGTTGCGAAAATAAATTGAACGGATACAGAACCTCGCTCAAGGTTTCATAGGTCCGCCCCTGTTTTCAAACCCGTGAAACCAAGTATTGTACCGAATAAATGAAATCAATTAACCAACAAACAAATATATATAACTCTAATTGAATAATTAAGTTTACACACCAACCATACATGTTACAAGAATATATATACACACACATATATATATATATATATATATATATATATATATAATATACAAGAAGCTGAAACCAAAACACCCAACAAAACATTTTGATTGTATGACACAAGGGTGGGTGACCACCCCCACCCCATAAATTAAAGGAGGAAGAAAGAATAACAAATCTGTTCACAAATCATTGATATCACACACCACAAATGACAAATTTACCCCTGCCTTGGCTGACCTCCATCATATCAGCAAGCCTTTGGTGGCTCTGTTGGGGCTACGATGACCTCCTCCGACTTGGCCGCGGTGGTTTCTGGTGTTTTTTCAACCTCTTTTTTCTTGTCTTCCTCCACCACGATTTCCTTCTCTTTGCTGCTTGTTTCTTCCACCACAGCGGCTACTTCTGGTTCTGGTATTGGTACCGGTGTCTCCTCCTCTTTTTTCTCTTCAACAACTATGAATGTTGACACCTTTTCGAAAACGAAGAAAATGGGTCCTTCGACCAAGGGTGGTCCATACTTGCAGCATGCTTCATGAGCTGGTTTCGATCCGGGAAATTCTAACACAATAAAAGAGTCTAATTAGTGATTACCTATCATAATGGTAAATACCATTAACGTGATGTTTGTTAGTAGCTTAATGCGATCAATGAAACTCACAACCTATTCGATCAACTATACATGGTTGTTTGTTAGTAGCTTAATGATATAAAAAGTAGCTTATTCAGTAAGTTTCTATGAGAGCTTCATACAAAACAAATGACTTTTACCTACAAATATCGCCCAGGGAAATTTCCTACCCAAAAAAATATCAATGGTTTGGTAGAATCCAATGTCTTTCAAGAAAATACCAATGGAACACCCAAAAAATGTCTAGGTAATTTGCCACTTATTTGAATTACCCACCAACTTTTATGACAGTTTTTGACGAATCACTGGATTTTCTAGAGAAAAGTCCCTACCTAAAAGTTTTTCATTTAGTAATGCTTTACGGAGAAAATCAAGTTTTTTTTCCCCTAAATCTGTCCTTCTCCGATACAAAACACTTTCCTTTGAGAAAACCCTGTCAAACAAAAAAATTTCCGATCCATACAAGACTTAATGAAAAACCAACCAAACATCTTATAAGACAGCAATTTACCGATTTTAGAGAGTTCCTCAAGGAACTTATCAACACCAGTAGAGATCTTTTTCAAGGCGCCGTCCTTGCGTTCCTTCACCAATTCCTGTTAATAAAGTTTTCATTCATTAATGAATATAAGACTGGAAACCAATAATTGAGTTTACTTGACTGTCATCGTCTTATTCTATAACAACCGATATTGGTTTTCTTGGATATCTTAATTTCTGATCTAATTCATTAATTATGAATAATGATCATTTGCATAACCCACTTCATATATTTTGAATTCATTTGAAAAACCAGAGAAATTATCCAAGTAGATGACAACCTTGATTTCTGCAGCAGAAGCTTCATAGATTTCAATAACTTTAGCTTGAAGTTCACTCTTCTTCTCTTCAAACTCTTTGCTATAATCCTCCTGCATGTGAATATGTGTAGTAATTAAATATACATACATATATATATATATATATTCTGAATTCAGATTTAAGTAGGGATGTGTATATAATTAAGATATACCTTAGCGTCATCGAAGGACTTGCAAGCTTCGGCAGCACCAGTTTTTTTGAGGTTGGTTTTCTCGAACAACTTCTTGAACTTTGGCACCACTGTTGATTTCCAGTAACCCATGTTCTTCAACTACAACTCTACACCTAAGCCAACAACAACCACATATATACATACATATATATATATATATATATATATTAAACCCATAATTAGACTAATTAATCTATATATCATACTTGTTTTAAAAGGTAATCATAAACGCAACCGATCCGATACCTTTGAAAACCTTGTTGATAGATTTTAATTCGATCGATCAACCACAAAAAACGACCAATTATCGACTTAATAAATACACCTTTCATTACTTACGAGATAAAAAGACAAATTAAAAAGCTTTGGATGAATCCAATAGACAAGAGGCTAAGATACCTTTGAGATGGAGCAAGTGTCTCTTGATTCTTGATGAAGAAGAATTTTGCAATTGAGTGGTAAGAGTTGTGATGGCAAGTTATATGAGATTTCCCAAACTTATTTTAAATAGTCTTCCTACATGATTACTAAACCACCCATACCCCACCTCTTTAATTACAATTATGCCCTCCAAATCCTATCATCATCCCTTCCCTATTTCTTTTTTGTTTCTAATTGTATTTGTCATTTAATTCTTTTATTTTGTCATAAAAAATTAATTATGCTTCTTATTCAATATCAATTTTTTCTCCCTATTTTGAGCTAATTATATATTCGATCCCTGTGGTTATCACTTTATTTTAGATTTGACTCATCTTGTTATTTCTGATAACAAAACTCGGTTAATATAAGGGCATTTTAATCTTTTACCTTATCAGTTTTCTTAGATTTTGTATCCTTGTTATATTTATATATATATATATATATATATATTAATAATACATATCAATCATCCACCGACCATCTTCTATTATCACCATTAATACCTGTTGATCCTCTCTCTCAGTGATTTGATGATAATCCCTTTTTCCTTTCGATATATTTCTGTATCTGTAATTTCAGTTCCAGCGATCATACACTGAGCTTGTTCAGTGATCGCTGA